CTATTTTCTTTGCCAGATTGGGGAAGTTCTCTTTTATTATTTGTTCAAATAAGGTTTCCACTTGTGACTGTTCCTATTCCCCTTTTGGTACCCCTATAATTCGGATGTTGCAACGTTTAAAGATGTCCTGAAGGTTCCTAAGCCTCTCCTCATTTTTTTGAATTCTTGTTTCTTCATATTTTCCTGTTTGGTCATTTTTTCCTTCCTTCTGGTCCACTCCTTTGATTTGAGTCCCAGTTTCCTTTCCATTACTATTGGTTTCCTGTGCATTTCCCTTCATTTCAATTAGTTTAGCCTTCATATGTTCCTCTAATTTGTGACTAAAATCAACCAGTTCTGTGAGCATCTTGATCACCAGTGTTTTGAACTGTGCATCTGAAAGTTTGGCTATTTCTTCATTGCTTAGATTTATTGGCTCAGGGGCTCTGAGTTGTTCTTGAGCCGTGTTTTGATCTGTTTGTACCTGTTACATATGAGGAGTGGAGCCTTAGTTGTTCACCAGGGCGGGGCCCCCCAGGTCACTGGTTTGTGATGCTGTATGCAGGGGCGGGGTCAGGGAGGGACAACGGCGTTCCCTCTGCCGCTTCCCGCCACTGGGGCCTGCACAGTCCGTCTCACTGCTAGCTCCTTCACCGGTTTATCTGCACATGAATGTGTGACCGTGGTCAGCCCTCAATGAGTCCACCACCTTGCGCCCTCAGTGGGTCCGCCCACTTCTCCACACCTGGGATCCGCCCATGGCTGCTAGTGCACCTGGGTTGTGCACCCAGGTCGATCTGGTGGATCTTTCCTGCCCGACCCTGCTCTGCTGCTGGCTCTGCCCCTCTTACTGGTTTGGTTGAAGGGTTCGTTGTTGTCAGACTTCCATGTAGTTCAATTTTCTGTGGTTTGGCAGCATTTTTCTTGCTAAAACTTTGTTGTTTTTTAAACTTGGTTGTGGGAGAAGGCGCAGTGCTTCCACCTATGCCTCCATCTTGGTGGAAGTCCTTTGAGCGTTTTGTTAATGTTACTACTGACAGTTATCAAGTAAAAATGAGGCAAAATGAACCAGGATTCACCTTGCAGGTCAGAGAATGTCTAACATGCTTTAAAACAGTTGGGATAATCTCTTTAGGTTTTGGTTTTTTGGTGGGGGAGATAATTGAGAAATGAGCCTTCCTCTCTCCCACCTAATTGAAATCTTCCTGAAATCAGACTGGAATACAGTCCGGCAAAGTCATGTGTATTTGTTCTGGGCTGTTGGAGGGGCAGGTAAGGACTTCACCCTCCAGGACAGACCTGATGCCAGGTGGCTAGTTCCCCTTCAGAATTCAGAATTCTTGTGGTCATACATGTCCAGCAAAAAAATAAAAAATTAAAAAAATTAAATTTCTTCTATAATGTTTTCACTTTCACCAATACCTAGTTCTGTTGCTGGGCCCTCTGGGCTGCTAATTCAAAAGGCAGAGTTTCTTCTTGCTAAATCATAAAGACTTTAGGCAATAGATGAAAAGTTTAGTTTGGATTTAGGAATTAAGCCGAAGTCAGGAAGGAGAGAAAACCTGAATTTCAATCCTGGCTCGCCTATGTGACCTTGTGTACATTATATCACTTCTTTGAGAGTCAAATTCCTTACCTTAATGCGTGACAATGATATTATTATTTGTCCCCCCTTGGTTTACATAAGAATTAACTGAGGGGAGGCAAGAAAAGCACTTATCAAAGTGTTTGGTACACAGTAGAAATTTAATAAATAGCACATGTAAGCAAGTAATATCAATCCATATATATGAGGTTTGCATTCAATATCACGAGCATTCTCCCCTGAACAATCTCACTTATTCCCTGGTCTTTACCTCCTTTACTAGTAATGCTTATAAACATGCACAAAGGCTTAATTTACAGATAGCACTGAAATAATAATTTGCACACTAAATACCCACTTACTTGCCCAGGTATTTTTCTGTAGCTAAGCAACTGCATCGATTTGCCCTCTGAGCAACTTGCTTGTCTAAGGCCACTCTCTCCATACTGAGCACACCATATGTATGAGAGCAGAAGTCAATTTCACCACTGTTTTGACTCTGGACACTCAAGGGGCACTGGTTTACATTTTTAGAGAATTAAGTGACTGCTTCTGCTTGGTGTGTGTCACAGTTCCTAAACTTGGGGGACTCTTGACAAGTGCCAGATTCCTTGATTCCATCCCAGGAGATTCTTATGCAGTAAATTCTGGGTTGATGACTCATTTTTTCACAAGCTTTCCAGGGGATTCTTAGGTTCATGCAGGTTTTGAAGCCACAGGTATGGGCTGCTTGGCCCATGTCTCCTCTCTGCCTGTGATGTCACCATTTCGTGAAGGCAGGGGACAGTGATGCATACCTAGAAATCTCTTGGCTGTGAGCAAATAAACCACCTCCAGGTATGACAAGTTGGTTTGCTTGCTGTTTAAAATATACATGTTTGTGACAATTCAGGGACAGAACAATATTTTTATTATCTGAATAGCAACACAGCATGAGTTGCTTTCCAATAAAATCAGTAGTAGATTATACACGAGTCAACATCATCTGCCTATTTACTGAGTTCAAAATCCTTGTAGGCACTGGGGGGAAAAAAGGGTAATTTAAGATTTTAATCTTTCCATATATTACAGGTTTTCGGTAATGGATTTTGTGCATCTGAAATGGAAAGACTGACAGGTCTGAAGAGTACAGGTTTATTAACCATTGGATACGCGGTCAGAGTTAGAGTGTGTGGCATTTCTACAACATCCCGTAGGCTGGATTGGAATGAGCAACTTCTGTAAAAGCTTGAGGTAGACAAGAGTCAAGATTCCATTAAAGAAGCAAAAGTTGTGTTTTATGTCACAATGATCCTCTTCTGAACAGAAGCATTTTTCATTGAACACAAATATATGAGGTGGGACTCAAACAAAAAATGAGAAAATGCTCAGAAACATGAAAGAATTTTTGACTAAAGGGGCCTGTGGTGGGCAGCTATATTGTTCCAGAAATGGGGCCTTGGGACCCAGCAAATGTTGGAGCAAATGCATTTTAAAAAATGAGTAACTAAAGGCAAAAATAATTATCTGAAAATAGCCCCCACTGTCTATAGATTTCATAACCAGATAATCCCAATTATAAAAATGACCTCATTAAACTTCACAACAACCTTGCATGCGGGTACTATCCTTTTCTCCATTTTTCAGAGGGAGATCACAGACTGAGAGAGAAAAAATGGCTGATGCGAAGCAACTCATAGGTGGCATTACTGGAACATGATCTTGGTTTCCACACTCATCCTACTTGGGTTGTCCTAGAGGGAAGAAGAGGTGTTCTGATGCTGAGTGTGAAGTCTTCAGATTAGTCATGGTCATTTCTGTGTTGGACAGTGTTAAAATGGCAGGTAATGTGGTGAGCCAGGGAACTTTCTGGTCACACTGTTCCTTCAGAGTTTGCTGGTAGAAGACTCTGGTCTTGGTCTTTCAAACCTCCAGTCAGTTGGGTGAATTTGGTGTCAGACTGGCTCTGCTCGGCCTCATTTCACTCCGTGGCACAAGAACACCACAGCACAATTAAAATGTCAAGGAGGGAAATGCCGAAAGGTTGCAAGATAGCAGTGCTATTCCATGAAAGGAGAAACCAGTTCTATAAAGACATATGTATATATTTTCCATAGTGGCAGATTTGTATTCCCCTCCTTGAGTGTAGGAACACAATTCAAGAACACCTCCACTCCTTAGGTAAGGATGACAGCCCTTTAGGACAAATGCTGACTTTTGATTATTCCTTTAGGTTTTGTTTAATTTTAATATGTTGTATATTTATTTTAAAACAAAGGTGAATGAAATCATTTATATTTAATAGCTAGCACAACTTAAATCTTTCTTTGCTTATAAAGCTCTAAGATCTTTCTCCTGTGAATCTAACCCAAAAAAACCAGGCCCTTTGGTCTTTGAGCTTAGATTATGACATCAGAAGGATGTTGGTTCACGAGAATTTAAGTTTTATTTTTAATTAAGCCTTTATGTTATCTTGTTGACTATATTACCTGTGTTGATGGTGATAACTGTTCAATTCAATGAAAAATATATCTGTTAATTATTTTATGGAATGGATCCAATAATGGCCAAAATGCTGTTAACCAATTTTTTTTCAGTTCTGTGTTGAGCTGTGGCTGAACTTATTCTGATGGGGACAAGAGATGTTTAATTTTATATTTCAATTTCATTTTAATGCTAGATATTAAAAATAGAACCACATTATATTTTAAGTGTATTTGACACCTTAATCAGTTATAAATTTCACTGGAACAAACCTTCTTGTGTCTTTTATATTAAAAGGCACAACAAGCAGATTTCACTCCAATCCTTACTCTGCAGTGTTAATGCAGTTAGATTGCATTATTACCTGAGGATGATGCTTTCATCAGAATATAATCATACACTAAATGCACTAAACCACAAAACATCCCACTAGTGACTAAGCGGCTGAATGGAAGCTATGCAGCTTAGAGAGACAAAATTCAGCTATCATGTCTGATCACCACCCAAGGTGTCTGGGCAAAGTGGGTTATTGTCTTTCTGAATTCCTCCTTCACTGCTCTGATACAGAAGGAATTGTAAATGGTCCAACCTAGGGAGTCCTGTAGAAATGAATGTTCAAGGTAATTCAGATCTATATGACTTACCTTCAACAGATGTGAATAAGAAAACATTCTGGGCTTTTGGTGTTTGAAAGTATTTCTTGGATGGAATAACATATAACTATGTATCTATATATCTTTATCTACATAGCTACACCTATATGTTTCTATATGTATATGTATGTGTGTGTATATATATATGCATACATACTTATGCATGCATACATGCAAAACTATGGTTTGCATTATTTTGTTTATATTTTCCAAGAAACAGACTATTTCCTGCAGATTTACTGAATTCACATATCCAATCTTATTTCCAATGAATTTCCTCTAAAATGTTTCACAAACGTACACACACTTTATTTCCTTACCTGGTGGACTCCAAGCCACAAACATGGAGTCGGGCCCAATTACTGTGATGTTATATGGAGGCTGGATTTCTTCTGGTGTCAACAGAGGTGTCTGTACAAGGTACTCGCCACTAAAACTACTGCCACCTCCAGTTGTGGCTTTCAACTTGTAAATGTATCTATATTGGGGGAAAAAAAGAATTGTTCTCAGGCAATGCGCAGGCAAACTGAACAATGACTAGTTTTCCTACCCATCGTTTAGTACTGAATTTGTGACAACTTGCAAAATCTTTGCTCCCTGTTCAGAAACTGTACCATAGGCTTGGTAGTTTGTACAGCAAGGGACGGCACTGTCCCCAACCATTAATTACTATTTCTGTTCCTCCCCACTAGCAACCCACTGCTTTTCTTCCAGATTGCAGGGAAGTCCTAGAGTGTGCGGGTGCATTGTGGAGGATTCAAATTAATCTTCCCATGTTTAAATGGGTTAGAGTTTGGGAAAATATGTTTAGAGGGAGATGTTGTTCAATTGATCTGCTATTCTCTACAATAAAAGTAAATTGATCTTTATTCTCTGCAATAAAACATCTGTTGATCTAAAATACATTTTCTCTCTGCTGAGAAATGAATGGGAATGAATTGCAAATAGGTGGGACTTTTTTCCCTAAAACGACCTGTGTCTATATATAGTACAGCGAGCAGAGAAAACATTATGCCAGGAAATAAAGGTAGCTAATGTAAAACAAAACTCTTCAAATTTCTTTTAACGCTAGTTTGGGAAGGCATGTTTTTTAAGTTTAATACTTTGTATATTTTATACACTTAAAGATTCTCATGCCTTCATGTCAGCTAGAGCAAAGGTGGCAAAAACACAAAGCCCGCAGGCTGAATCCGGCCCTCCGCCTTGTTTTATCTGGCCCGGCACCTTGTTTCTACCCAGTGGCAGCGCTGAGCTCCTTGCCTCTAGTTAAGGAGTAGTTATATTTACACAGTCCTGAAGTTACATTTGGCCCTTTAAAGGCAACCAGGAGGCTGCTGTGGCCCTCCAGTGAAAATGAGTTCCTCTGGAGTTTCTCTGATCTACACCATTTGTTTACATGTTTACAGAATTCCATGTACTTTGAAGACTAAAGTAAATGAGTCAGAACGTGGGTTATGGACATCTGAAATGGATTTCAGATGACTTCATCAGTGACCTCATCAGCTAGCTGTTCAATGGCTAGGAAATGGGGAGATTAGCTAATTCGTTTAATATCATTTCAGTGGGAGAGATGCCTGAAAAATCTAAAGAATCCAACTGTCTGATTGGCAAAGCTTGCTTTTACTTTACCTGCTGTTGGACTCCAGGTTTTTATCAGTGAAACGCTGTTGCTCACTGCCACCCAGGAAAACCGAGGTTCCATTGCGACTCAACTGATACTGAGAAATGAGGCCGTTGGGCTTTTCCGGCGGACTCCAGTATAATTCCACGGTCGTAGAATTGATGATAATGTGCCGTGGTGTCGCCCAAACTCCTGGCAGAAATAACACAGCGAGGTTCCAGTGGAAATAAACGCCTTAACAAATTCTCAGCATCACCTCACGTACTATGATACGTTTACCTGTTGATCAAACAAATCTCATGGCACATGACTAAAAGACGTTTTTTATTTGGGGGGTAAAATGCACAAGTGGGTGCATGTACCTATTTTTATTGCTTTAATTATTTTATTTTTGAATTGACTTTTAAGAAGTGAATGTCATACTGGAAGGGATGGGAAACTTCTCTTCACTTGGTTGTTATTCTGAATGTAATCAAGACCTGGTAGAATATGTGAAAGTAATGTAACCTAGCATTTACCTGAATTCCCCAATTCACCCCTCCCCCCAAAAAAAAACCCCACATTCTTTCTCTTTGCCTCTCTGACAAAAGGTGCTCTTTTTTTCCCTCCTTTCTAGACCACTCCTTCCCACCCCACTGGCTCCACTTCCCCCACTGGACCTCATGGGGGCGTCATCCTTCGGGACAGAGCTGGCCCCTTTTCCCCTCCCTGCTGTTTTCCTCTCCTCTCATCCAAAACTCACTTCCTAGGTGATTTCCAATTAGTTGAAGTTTTTAGTAACACCTCTATGGGGAACACTCCCAAACACCAATCGCCAGACTAAAACTCTCTCCTGAACTTCAGACTCATGAATCTGTCTACTTGAAACCTCTATTTGGATGACTAATGATATATACAAAACTTAAAAACTCCAAGACTGACCCTTTGGTTTCCCTGACTACAACCCGTTCATTGTCCAATCTTGTCCATCTGCCCATTTTATTGAGCAAAAAGAAATCATTCTTGAAGCTTTCACTTCTCTCACCCCTAGATGTAATCTATGGTCAAGTTCTGCAGATTCTACTGCGGATGGATACAGTTCTCTGTATCTTTACTGTCTCCTCTCCTGACCCAAGTCACTTTTCTCTCTTGTGGACTCCTCTCATAGCCTCTAAACTGGTCTCCATGTTTTAAATCTTGTCCTTCTTTATGTCATGGCAATTTTTACAGAAGGTTGCACACACACACACATATGCATGCCAATGCTATCTTTATAAAATACACAACCTTTTAAAATTATTTATATAATTTCAACTCCTTGTGTTAACCTGTGTGGCCCTACATTTTCCTGGCTCTGACCACCTTGGCACCATTCCCTCCATCCACACCCAGTTCTTTTCTTCAAATGTTTCAAGTTCTTTCCCATCTCTGGCCTTCTGCCCTTCCCTCCCCTCTGCTTGGAATGCTTTTGCTCATGACACTGTGATATGCTGCATTTGACTTTCACAGTTCATTAATGTGCGTGAACGCGCCCTTCTCAGGGAGGTCTTATTTGACTTCCCTTCCCTAACTCTAACTCTAATCCTACACAGTGACCCCAGCCTAGGTCCTTTCTACCATACACCAGTTTCTATTTCCCTCTTAACACTCCCAACATCCTAATCCTCTTCTTTCTTTGATGCTCTCATTGTTTCCATGTTGTTATGACTGCACAGTCTACTTCTCTCTATTGTATCTGTACAAAGTTATCTCCTTGGGGCTGGGGTCTTCTCTTGTCAGTCTTTATAGGGAGCAAAATGCCTAATAATTATCGATTGAATGCATTTACTGGAAATATACTTCCTGTAAATTACTGTTAAACATTCTAGGCAGTTCCAACCATTACAAAGATGAATAAGACGTGGCTCATTCTTTCAAGGAGTTTGCCATTCTGTATAAAGGGCAAAATGTGCATGCCAGTAACTGTCATTTAAGGTGAAATGTCCAAGTACTGCTGCAGATGTACAAACATCGGTGGAGAAGCAGAGATGAGGAAGTTCCATCCTACCACTTCATGCTGTCACCTAGGAATGTTCTGAATAGACACTGCAACTTTCTTCCGCAGCCTTTAAAAACTCATTTTCACATCAGGTTCCCATATGTCTCCTGTATATGTTACTCAAAATTAAGGTTAAGATCCTGGAACTTTTAAAGAAAAATTTGGGGGAAATTAAAATTCCTTTGATTTAGCGGTATACTGAAAGAATCAAGATTGATTTCAACATGGCTCAAACTTACTGATTTTCTAGAGGACAAATTGCTCCTGAGAAGGAAGTAGTTCAATTTGTTCTAGAAGCTTCTTTATGTTAGATAGTTGGACATATCCACAAATCACTGTCTACATTTTTTCTAAGTTTTTTTTTTCCCAACAGCCACCAGATGACTCAACCAACTAATTCAAGACTTGAATTAACATGATATTAATTTGTTGATTTAAGAGAAAGTATAAGCCCTGGCTGGTGTAGCTCAATGGATTGAGCATGTGCTGCAAACCAAAAGGTCACCAGTTCGATTCCCAGTCAGGGCACATGCGTGGGTTTCAGGCCAGGTCCCCAGTGTGGGCCATGTGAAAGGCGACCATGCATTGATGTTTCTCTCCTCTTTATCCCTCTGTACCCTTCTCTCTAAAAAGAAATAAATAAAACATTTTTTAAAAAGCCAAAAAAAAGGTTAAAAAATGAGAAAGTATAAAGATCCATTCATAATCTTATTCCTGCAGTCAAGTCTTTCTCACCTTGAAGGATGTATTACAAATCACCAAGATATGAAAAAGGCTATTTCTTAGTTTCTAGTTTGAGCCAGTCAATACAGCCTATGGATATGAAGGGGTCAATGAAATGAATGGAGCAACATTTTTGGTTTGCTTCATGTTTTAAGTAAAAGTTAAGTTTCCTATCTGTGCAGGCTGATCTAAGCTCTGTTCATGTTGATGACAACCCTGCACCCATTGGTTCGATCTATAATAAGAAAGTGAAATGTGAAAAACTCAGGGCTGTATTTTACTTGTACAATGATATGAAGACAATGTTATCTCTGCACCTACAAGGAATCTTGGGTAGAGCAAGAGTGCCTCTGGTGAGATTTCTTAGTGAGGTCCAGATGGAGGATCTGTCCCTTCTCTGAGCCCGAATCTCAGGTGGCCTCAGATAACCCATTCTGCATAATGGAAGGGCAGGGTTAAGGTGACTTGGGGGAAGAAAATAAGGGCCATGAGGCCAATCACTTTGAGTCAGTCAGCTGTGGAGCCTCTAAGAGTGAAAGGCAGAAGGAAACCTTGGCGGGTCCCTTGACATCATAGCTACTAAGAAAGCAAAATGTCTACTAGATGTGCTCTCAGTTTATCTTGAAGATGTGCCATGTAACATGATCCACTCTGATGACTCTACACATCTTCATACCAGTAGAAAAATTCCCAACATTTATTGCAGATTGGCTTTTTTTCTGGAAGAAAGTGGGCCAGTTTTCTATTAACTGACATCAGGGGTGCACTGACATCCAGATCACTTACTCTGCTAATTTATTCACTCTGCATCTACCCAATATTCTGTCATTTTCTGTGTTGGGCATTGTAAGTGTTGGAATAAAGATGAAATGTTTACCCTTCAAGACCCCAAAGTATCACGGTAAAAACAGATGACTAAATAAAAATGTATGACCCAGTGTGTTACATGCTTTTGAAGAAAAGAAGCATCATGTGTTATTAGAGCTCATAGGAAGAGTGCCTAACACAGGCGGGGGTGAGGTAGGTGGAGGAGAAGGGGAAGTGGCCACAGGGTAAAGGGTCCAAAAGGAACAATATGCGAAACATTTCCCCAATTTTGAAAAAGTGGAAGTGAAGAATGAGGATGTAGGGGAAGAGCATCTAGGCTAAGAGGACCCATAGAAAGTCCCAGAGCTATGAGAAAGCATGGTGAAGTGGCCAGCACCTCGAAGTGCCCGGTGCATGGAATGGTATGTGGGGAAAACCAAAAGACTCAACAGATGGGCCAAAATTACAACCTGAGGGGTCTATTTTGCTTTATCAATAAGATGTGAGATTTCATTTTTGGAAGAAAGAAGGATTTTATCAAGTTCACTAAGGTGAGATATGCTTATTCTGGCCAAAGAGGAAAATGAACTGGGATAGGAGTATGAGAAAAAGGAAAATAACGCCTTGAGTCAAGGGGACTAGTTAGTTAGAAATACCCAGAGATGTTCTAGGGGCTGAACTCAGGCAATACCAGAAGAGATGGAAAGGAAGAACACATTTTTAAAAAATCCTTAAGATTTAAAATTAGGAAGATTTTAAAATATAAGGTGGACAAATGGTAATAAAAATACAATAAAAATAAATTAAAAAATAAAAGGAATAAGATTTTATGAAGAAGTGTATACTGCAGCCTACCGAAGAGGGAAGCGTTAAGTATGTCATGTTTTTGGCCTGGCTGATTAGGGGATCGTGGCACTTGAGAGAGGGAACAGGAAGCAAAGCAAGTCAGGACGTGCATGGAGAGTCTGAAATACTGAGGTTGAAGTGTTTAGAAAACCCCCAAATGTAAAGAGAGGCCTTAAATCCATGAGTGTAGCCTTCGCGAGTGTCATTGGCATGGCAGTTCTCAGCTTACGATAGGAAGGGAAGCCAGTACTTGGGATTTCCCGGGAGACTGCAGAGTGCCGTGTATAAAAAGAGCAGTGAAAGAAGCTAAAAGAAGCTCAGAATTAAAAGAAGGGAGAAGGAAAGGAATTGGGAACAAAACTGAGAAGGTCTAATCTCTGTGTTTTCTTTTCTATACCATCAGTGGCGATGGAAAGCATACACGCCACGTTGGATGATCAAACTCTAAAATGAATGAGAACCTGCTGGTACGGCAGCCATTCTGAAAAGACAGCAACGATCCAAACTCGCCCCACTACTTGACTAAAGGAACACAATTTTCTGTGAGGGTACCACTGTTGAGAATTATGTCCCACTGATCAATAAGGCCATGTTAACTCTTCCTCTCCTTTGTTTTTAGCTCAGGGCAGCTCTGAACAAGTGCTTCTTTTATTTCTCTCCACACTCACTTAGGACACTCAAATGGTAGACCTTCATCTATATATAATCTACATCTAATTCACTCAAATAGGCATTTTATAATTAGTGGTGTTCAGGTTATTAATTTAAAATGATATGTTTGTTTCCAGTTTCCAGTATAAAAATAGAACTTGATGTCACTGGTGATTTGTCACCTTATTACCCTCCCAGTAAACACACCAACTACATTCATTTCACATACAAGTCACTCACAAATGGCACTTATGCAGCCCGAAAATGGACTCTAAATCCACATTTCTTCTGAGGAGGAAAGCCCACTTTGTTATTACTCCTTTGCACAGTTATTTGTGTTAAAGGAAAGATGCATAAAGTTGAGAAAGCAAATAAAGGATAGCATTTCTCATCTCGTACTCCCCTGCACTGTTGAAAGCTGTAATTTTTAAGTCATGACATCTGAGCCCTTTCAATAAATTTTGTTGGGTTTGTGGAAAAACAGATGCATATTTTCTAAGAATTCAAATGTATGGATTTCATCCATAAACTGGACGAAGAGACCAGCTATTTTAGCATGCTTGAGTTTCAGCCAAAAATGGCTGGTAGATCCTTCAGAAATTATCCATTATCATCAAAGTACCCATTTGATAGTTTCCCTTTCCAAAAAATCCACTGCTGGTTTCTTCCCTTCAAAGAAACACTAAGCTTTTTGACATGAAGCATTCTTTATATAGAAAACATCATTAGTGAATTCCTGGTGAGGAGCCATATGCCCCTTGTGTGGAATTTTCCATTTTATTCCCCATTTACTGGTAGGAAGTTTAGGTCTAATATTCTGAGGCACAACAATCCCTTTCGTTAGCAGAGAAACGGACAAGTGGTTCAGGACTCTATGATGGTAGTTAATAAGTAAGTTTCTGTTTAGAAACTTACGTCTCTATTTGTCCACATGCAAAACAGGCCAAGAGTAAAGACTAAAAAATAATTAGATGATCATTAGCTGAAGTTTCTGAGCATGTCTTTCTCCTAAAAGTAAATGACAGCACCCAGCCCAGTTCCCAACTCCCAGATAAGCATTGTTATCAGATGGATTGGTACTTTCCTAGAATTTTTTTCTATGTATTTACTGATCTATAGAAATACATATTTTCTATATGTGCTTTTTATACATAAAATACCACACATTAACGCACTTCTATAACTTCCTCTTTATGTGCACAGATCATCCACTTCTTTTACACTGATGAGTGAAATTCCACAAAGTGAATATCCCTGGATTTATTTAATGATTCCCCTACTCATGGGCATTTAAATGGCTTCCCACATTGTGCCATTAAACAAACAAAGCATGGTTTAATGCACTCCTTGGAACATGTCTCATTGTAAAGTCGTGGAAATGTTATTTTCTAGCATAGATAATTAAAGTAACACCACTGTGTCATGGGGAATTAACATTTAAAATATGATAGTCAATTTGCCTGCTAAGGTGATGGTCCCATTCTACACCCCTTCAAGCTATGTTTGTACATTACTTTCATCCTTTATTTGTCAAAATCCTAATTCCTGTGTTCCATCTCAGAAGTCAACTAACTGCCCCACGAAATCGTTCTGGATGTCACAATGGGTTGTAGTCACTCCCTCCTCAGACTAACCCGAGCATTCTGTTCACTTGGTCTTTCTAAACATCACCTTTTCAATTCTCTGTCTTCCTATACATTTGTGAACCTATTCTATCACTTCTACTTGACTGTAAGCTCTAGAATGTGATGGATATCTTAGTCAACTTAAGCAATGAGCCAGCTGTCTATTACATTAGGCATTCCAGAAATATTTAATTTTTGATTTGGGGAGGAATTTCATATCCAAGTACATAACAATAGTAACTTTTATATATGATATTCAATCTAAAAGACTGAAAGAACTAAAAGCAAACTTTTAACTAGGGAGGCTTGTCGTTGAACTAAACCTGAAGAATGGAAACCTAGAACACTCTTTTATTTCATACTTATTGACTTTATGCCTTCTTCCTTGTTTGTTAAAAAGAGTCTAGAGAGTTTATTTTTAAATGCCATAGGAAAACTTCTTCTCCCAAATCATGGGTATTTTTTAATTACCTTGAGGTGCTGCCTGCAGAGTCTGACCTAGAAAAGGCTCACTTGAAGCGCATCCAGCAGATGTACAAGCTGTAAGAGTGAAGCTGTAGTTGGTGTATGGCTGGAGACCTAGAAAGAGCAAACAAGAAATAAAGTGCATTCTGAGAGGCTTATTTATTATCAACTAAGCACCAGAAGTAACACACAGAGCTGTTGATATGCTATCCAAAAAATTTTAAGGGCAGAAAACACCCTTTCATGAAGATGGGAACTTCGCAAGCAGTTCAGTAGTGATAGAAATTTCATTTATCACTGATGAAGTAATAAAGTATCAGCCTTCAAAGAGATCTTGAAATTCATAGAATCCAGCCATCCATTTTCTCTTGATTCCCACGTCCAAGATGTCACTGATGAGGCTGCACTGCCCTGGAGGTAGTAGCAGCCCGTCTCCCGAAGAGCCCCAAGCTTGTTTCAAGAGCTCTGGAGTTCTTGTTTTGTTTGAAAGTCCTTCCTTACACTGTGGTGAACTCTATCTATCATTTCCACCTCTGGGGACATATAGAACAAACCTAATTTCTTTTCTACATGACAGTTCTTCAAATATTTGTAGACAGTTATCACATTCCCCCTGAGTCTTCCCTTCTCCAGGCTAACCATCCCAATTTCTGCAATTGCTTCTTTTACAAATAGGGTTGGGAAAAAATAAAGAATGTTAGATCCAACATTTTTAGCCCCAAGCCACATTTAGCTAATATTAACACCAGTGAACCGCCACCCCTTTTAAAACTGTATACTTATTCACTATATGTACCAAAAGTTTACCATCTCACACTTCCTTCTCTAGTATTTGGGGGGCATGATGGTTTTGTCTTTACACACAGATTAAACATCATTTAACGAGGGGACAGTGTTCATTACTTTTGTGCATTCAGTATGGTATACAGCACAGTAATGCTCTCAGGGGGAAAAATGACAATCCATTTACAACAAAATTTCTATGTGGTTAGACTTTACACTCCATAGCCTGTGACTTTGGGAAAGTAACTTAGCTTCCATTGACCTTGACCTGTTGGTCTGTGCATGGCAAATCTGGCATCTAGCTCCTAAGGCTGTTGGGAAGATGACATGGGTTCCTGGAGTAGTACTTCATTTTCCCAGAAGCAACCTGAAGACTCAACCACATTCAACAAGGAGTACATTGAGGCTAACATTTCTTGCCCTGATTCTTGGGAAATTTCACACAATGCCAAAGCTTAAAAAGTTTTGTTTAACAAATAGCATTTAGTCTATGTGTTAAATAATTGGGCTTAGTTATAACATGCATCCAATGATTACTACTTTCTCATGAACTTTGAACTATATTTCCATACATTGTGTTCTTTCGGTGGGGTGACTCTTCGAGAGAGACATTCATGTATCACTCAGTCATTGTACGCAGATTTCTGCTCTGGTAGAACAGCTTTAAAGATTTTGGCCTCTCTTATCCACCCACCACACCCAGCACTTTTATCCCCTCAAATTAGTTTCTTTCTTCCTAGCCTTCAACATTAGGTGATATTTTATTATATGTTATCCCCTCTACAATGTAAGCTCTAAAAGAACCAGGACTTTGGTTCATCCACCACTGTATCCTTTGAACAGTGGCAGGCACAAAGTAAGTGCTTGCTAAATGAATGACAAAACTAACCAACTGGTTCATTGGGAATTGGAGGAATGGCCCGGGTTCTCTGCTCAAGTAACCAGGTTCAGTGTGTGGCTGGGGCTGCTCCAGCATCCAGCGTGAAAGCCTTCTGGGCTGCCTTATCAGTGTAATGAAAAGATGCAGATACATATTCGATTATAATCTGCCACTTGGCTGCTGTGAAGGATTTACACCATTTTGATATTTACCTGATTTACAGATGAGGAATATGATGAAAGATCTAAGTCATATGCTAGCCATGTATGTTTGATAAAAGCTTATGGGAAAATGCTAAAGAGGATAAAATGTAGAGCTCAAGAGAAAACGGCAGGAAACAACCAAGAAAGAAGGGGAGAGACAGCAGTGGCAAGCTGAGTCTGATGATGTCCCCCATTTACTGCCACTACCGAAAAAGGGGGGAGGTCTTGACCTTGTAATACCATTTCATCTGAACATCTTACTCTCACTTAGAAAGGAAGCAGTTTGAGAATAAGGATAGTATCTTGAGGGTTTTTTTAAATCGTATTTTTCCAATAGTACCTATTTTAAATGCTTATTATTTGTGAGATGTTGTTTAATGAACACCAAACACACACAAGCATTTCAAAACAATATTAGGGTTATGAGGCCACGCTATCTACCCATGGTGTCCGTCACAAGTAGGATGCAACCAACCTCATGGTGCTCCTGATTTCATCCACATTCCTACTCACAGCATCTACTCATTGAGTAACAGATTCATCTCTGTTGCAGACTATTATAATAATCACAAAAGTTACAGAATTTGGAAACAATAAATATCTGTATACTTTTCCTGAATGTCAATAAATATTGTCAGGAAAAACTACACAGCCACATGCAAGAGAATAAAACTAGACCACTATCTTATATCGTACACAGAATGAACCCAAAATGGATTCAGTATTTGGCTACAAGACACAAAAGCAAAAGCTTTCTAGAAGAAAACATAGGTAGTAAGCTCCTTGACATCAATCTTCACAATAATTTCTTGGATCCATCTCCAATGGCAAGAGCCACAAAGGCAAAAATAAATAGTGTGACAACATCAAAGTCAAAAGCTGCTGCACAGTAAATGAAACCATCAACAAAATGAGAAGGCCACCTAGTGAATGGGAGATGTTTGAAAACCCCATAGCTGGAAAGGCGTGAATATTCAAAGTATATAAATTAAGAACTGATGTAATTCAATAAGGAGAAAAAAACAACGAATAGTTCTATGAAAAAATGGGCACAGGATGTGAATAGACATTTTCCCAAAGAAGACACACAGATGGCCAACAGACACATGAAAAACTATTCACCACCACTAATCATCAGGGAAATGTAGATTGAAATGACAATGACATATTCCCTCCCACCCGTCAGAATGGCTATTATTAAAAAGACAAGAAAAAACAATTGTTGACAAGAAATCACAAATATGAATGAAAGGGAACCCTAGTGCACTACTGGGGGGAATATGAACTAGTACAGTCACTATGGAAACAGTATGGAGTTTCCTCAAAGCACTAAAAATAGAACAACCATAGGATCCGGCACTTCCGCTTCTAGGTATTTACCCTAAGAAAATAAAAAACACTAATTTGAAAAGATACATGCACCTCTATGTTCACTGCAGCATTATTTACAATAGCCAAGATATGGAAGCAACCTAAATGTCCCTCCATGAGTAAATGGATAAAGGAGTTGTGGCCCATATACACAATGGAATATTACTCAGCCAAAAAAAGGGATGCAATCTTCCCATTTGTGACAACATGCATGAATCTTGTGGGAATTATACAAAGGGAAATGAGTCAGGGAAAGCAAAATGCCATCCAATTTTACATGTGGAAACTAAAAAGCAAGAGAAACTCACAGATGCAGAAAACAGACTGCTCGTTGCCAGAGGTGGGGAAGGGGTTGTAGGCAGGCCAAAGGGGTGAAGGGGATCAAGAAGGACAAACTTGTAATTGTATGATAGTGAGTAATGGGCATATAATGTACACCATGGTGACTATAGTCCAGGGGTGTCAAACTCATTGTTTGACAACCGGGGGCCACCTCAGCCTCTCCGTTGCTTTCAGAGGTCGAATGCCATTTTAGGACTGTGTACATGTAACTACTCTTTAACAGTTAAGTGTGAGCTCGGTGCTGTCAATGGGTAGAAACAAGGTGCCAGGTGGATAAAACAAGGTGGAGGGCCGGGTTTGGCCCGTGGGCCGTGTGTTTGCCACCTGTGGCACAGTAGTGCATGTTGGAAAGCTGCTAAGGGAGTAGATTTTTAAGAGTTTTATCGTAAGAAACAAATTTTTACTTTGTATGGTGACAGATGGGAACTAGGCTTGTTGCTGGGATCACGCAGCAGTGTGTACAAACACATCATTACGTCGTGCATCTGAAACGAAGATGATGTCGTGTGTCAGTGAGACTTGAGTAATTAAAAAGCAAGCTAAGGGATTTGGTGGTTCTCCGTTTATTGCTCTTTTTACTGGACTCTACTCAGTAATTGAATACATTTCAGGGAAAAAGCAGCTATTTTCAAGGAAGTTGGTTATTAGATTGCATAAGTAACATTGCAGCCGAAGTTTATCGACTACTTCCTGCTTGCAGACCTTCTGTCTGCTTCCTGGGCAATCACACAATCGAGGTTCCCACTAAGTGCACCAGGCACTGCTATCATCTGCTCCACTGACGCAGTAGGAAGCTGAGGATGGAGAGTTGGAGGAACTCACCCATGATCATGGAGATAAGAAAGAGTGAGGCCAGGACAGAAATCTGAATGGCTGCGCTGAGACACACACAGTCCAGCGCAGTGGGGTTGGGCTTCTGAGCCTTACAAGGAAAATGATGACCCAGGTAGCTCAAAGCCCAGTGAAACTTCCAGTAATATAAACAATCCAAGTGGGGATACATAATTCAAATATTACCATTCTGAATATTACTGCAATTCATGTACTGAGTCAGTACTGCATAGCTGTTAGGAGTACAGAGTCTAGCGTTAGCTATTTGGGTTCTAACACCTGTCTAGTAACTACGACCATGGGCAAGCTGTCTGACCACTGGGTCCCCCAGTTTCCACATCTGTAAACCACAGGCATGAGAGTGTAGACGTGTTTACATGGGCTACAGACTAATTCGAGAAGAGGCAGTATCTGAATCCATTATTTTTCTTCTATTTTTTTTAGGTCTTGTATGTCCCGTACAGTCCAGGACTGGATTACTAACAGGCTTGGTTCACACACTCTGTAAGGCGAGCTTCCTCTGCCATCAGGTGTCGATGATTTACATGAACTAGATGACCTTTCCTATAGACGACTCTGTAAAACTCAATAAAATCAACACATTTCAACTGGGTTTTGCTGTCATTTTAAGTAAGTCCTTATGGGTAGTCCTTAAAACGAGATATATGTGAAATATTAGCAACAGGCAATGAAAAGGCCACACC